TAGAACAGGAGGTAGGCTGTCAGATCCGGGAGCTTTATGACGCTTCAAAGATTGCATTACGCTTCAAAGATCTGTACTGATTGGCCAAGCACCAAACGAGGGAAACGAATGTGTCACAGTGGGCTGTGCTGAGCAGTTAAATTGCAAAGCAAAGTGCTCTGCCCAGTGACCCATGCGCTTGTGCGTATTGGTAATTTTCGTGCCGTCTGACTCACAAATTGTCTGACAGCGTGTGAATTGCAACCAGTGATCTTGATGAGGTAAAGTAAACTGCGTAAGTTTCCGGCCGATACAACAGCTTCCATATCAGCAGTTCGTTTCGGACTCACCATTAGAGCGAAGGCTTGATTTCAGCCATAGACGGACTGAGTTCATTGTGCTCCACACAGGCGGACACAGCCCGTCGACGAGTTCGCAGTTTCGAGAATTTAACCGAAATCCAGCTTTTGTCCGTGAAGCGGGTGAGTCCGCAGCTGGACAAGGCGGTAGACAGCAGTGCTTACTGCAAATTTGATCATTGTTGATCAATATCCAGATTAGGGAGGGTAGTATGATTTTCACGAACACTCTTAATACTTCGTTTTCAGTTGAGTTCGCTTGGCCCTAGATGTGCCTCCGAAACGCATGCAAACTATCGCATACACCAATGCATAATCGGTGTCAACTCAAGTTGACCAAACTGATCAGCAATCGTGTATGCTGCCGCGCCACCTGCGACTTACGGTTATATTCTCAATCTGTGACCAGCGCTGGGTTGACGATGGAGGACGCCAGGTGACATAATGGCGTCCAGGGTGATGAAAGCTCATACTGGTGGTGAAAAATTTGGGGTCAGCACATAGACTGAACAGTCTCTCCGTTGTCAGGGTGAACATCACTATACCCATCCGATTCACCGAGGTGGTGTCCACATGATAACAGCCGACCTATGCGTGTGTGTAAGTCTCTTGTCATAATGATGATGTCTGTTTATGGCGCCCTTGGGAGCAGCTCATGAAGGCGTTGCTGAAAGTACTCCTTAACTGTATCCGAGCTGTAGGAGTCACAAAAGGAGCACCCTTGTCTGCTCTATGTCTGCTAATCTTGTTCGAGCCACGTAGCCTCAGAACGTAAGTTCGACTGTTGATTGGAATCCAAACAAGAAGGGCGGTCTGGCATTGAGGGCGATCCCAACACCAGGTCGTCCAGATGCGGCAGGCTCGACGTCACCAAAAAAGCGATGATAGAAGCGGGTGTGTGGTTGGACTGGTGAGTCCCTGGTCGTTTGCGGTCCTAAAGGCGTATGAACCACTTGTTTGGTCACCGGCTCCCAACGGGGTGCCATACCCTCATATCGCCCTGCTGCCTTTTAGGTTAGATCCTGGATCAAAGGCTCGGGGTGAGGCCCCCTAACATAACCCACTACTTCGACCTAGGCAACCGGGTAGTATCTCGCCCTCTGATGAACCATGGATGGATCATCCCCTTCCCACCCCCAATAAAAACATTTAAAAAATTAAAAAGTTGCGAGTGGAAAATGGGTCTCCAGCAAGCCCAGCTTGCTTTTCGATCTGCAATAATGTGCGTACGTTAAGGTTTGCTAGTTTGAACTGCATTCCAGATTACAATAGTGAGGATGGCAGACTTCGGGGCTGGCAGCTCCGTTTCGAGTATTGTGTGCTTGTGGTGACGGATGATAAGAGAATACTTTCATCAGCGGAGGTAGGGTTCTTCACAGTAGAAGAATTACAAAATGACAAAAGAATCAGGTAACAATGGGGATGAGTGATGCACGAAAAGAGTAGGTAAATTGGTGGCGTGTGGTTGTGGAGTTGGCGTAGTATCATGACTGCATCTTCCTGAGAAAAAGAGTGAAGGTAGTTGTGTGTTTCCATGGTTCATCACCGAATGTGCCAAGCATGAGAATATTCCTGTGAAATATGTAAACATTTCACTTGGCCTGGAAAAACGTTCACTGCAGATTGCTTCAGGGTCAGTGACTAATTGTCGGATGGCTTTTCAATAACGAGTGGCGTTCGTCAGGGTTGTCTCATTTTCTCGTTTCCAACTTTGTCGTGGGTTCCATCATAGCTCTGGGTTTTGCTACGCAGTCATTGAGACGATATCTAGTGGAAAATCATTTGATTTTTGTTATGAGGAGAATATTGTTTCTTTGAGACTCTTGATGCGGTCCAGGTGTCCCTGTGGGGTGACTCTAACCTAAGCATGCGTATCAAACCTTCAAAATACAAACTGTTGTTGTATGACCACCAGCCACTTGGCAACGTTCAGGTATTTGACCAAATCACCTGTCTTGATAGCTGCATTAGCAGCGATGAACGCGTGGGGGTTAGAACCGCCTTCCCGAACCTGCAACCTCCGTGGTAACGGAAGGGACTTCTTTCTGGGAGACGGTATGTGCAAGATCACAGTGAGAGCCGTCCTGCAGTGTGAAAGTGTAAGACTCATACTTTTTTTGTCTGACTTAAGTCAGTCTTTGACCATCGTTGTCTGCGGAGCATTGCTGGTGTCGGATAGGAACTGTGTGTTGCGGGCGAACACTGGGCGGTGACAGTTCTGTTAGTTCCTTAGCATGTTGCTAGGCTCACTGGGGTTGACAATTGACTTACAAACATCTTGCTGCCACTCAACGTGGCATCTCCAGTGTGTACTAGTGAATATCTTAGCATTGGCTTTTTCAGATAAATCAGGAGCTTAGTAGTTCGCAGCTGCAGTACCGGTCCTTATATATCATTCAAGTGTCGGGAATCCCACTCCATACGCACTAGTTTGCCGGAGTGCTCTAGGGAACGCAGTTAAGCCAACTGTCCTATTCGTTATCCGGTTGCTGCTTTTTTCGCCTCAACTTATTGCCTCTATTTCGCCCGTTTCTGTTGTTCGTACGCAGGTTTTTTGAATTCTCCATAGCCAAACTTCGACGGATTCAAATCAGACTAGTCAATGTAGGCTTTATGTACCTGGATGGGTGAATTTTTGGCACTTTACAGTACAAACTGTGGATGAGGTAAAATCAGTTACTCAAGAATGCAAGATTTTATAAGTGGATAAAGAGAGGGGAAAAGGGTACACTGATGTAAAATCGAGTAAATAAGCTACTTGATAAACAAAATCCTTGGGATTCTGCCGACCGAGCAGTGCTTTACGAAGACATTTCTTCATAATTGGTCTCAGGTGGTCGAAAACAACAAATCGCGAATCTTGCGCGATGTCTCGACCGAGTATTCAACAACCTTGGTGACCTTGAAAGTACTTTGGACAAAAGTGTTGTCAAAATACTCTTAGAAAACACATTCGCAGTAAATAGGGTAAACACGATGATGATGATGATGACGATGATGGTGATGATGATTTAAAGACCCCGTCCGGTGCCATTTTCTTGTCTCTGCATGTGTCCGAATCGGTTTTGATCCAGTCATAGTTGTGCCCTTTATCATTGTGCACCAGGATCAACGGTGATGCGTAGTGGTTTCGGCAGGCTTATTTGTGCTCATGTGTTCTACATAATTTCTTCTTGTTTGGCCCACAGTGTTCTTTTTGCAACTTCGGCACTGTATCCTCTGTACTCGTTTGTTTTCGCTTTCCATCTTCGTCTAGATAGGGTTCTTTTCAGATTGTCTTAATGCGTTTTTCCCTTGTTTCCGGCAAATTCTTTGTCTATGATAAGACAATTCTTTTTATCTTTGCTGGTGCACCTGCGATATTCGCAGCCTTGCAGTTTGGGCGTCTCCAACTGAAACTTCATGGGCACCCGTTACGCCTGAATGGCGTAGACAACTGTTTCTCTTCCTTCTATTTCGATTCAGTGGTAATGTTGCCATGAGGTTTCTCTTTGCGCAAGAGAGTCCATGTGAGGCTGCTTTTGTGGCATTTCAGATGATTGCTATTGATTTTTTGGATTTGAACAGCACTTGTGCGTCTTTATTTGATTGTTCTTTATTCCGTCGATCGGTCTGGTGTGGGGTGCCTTGAGTGTGTTTGGAAGCGCCCTTTTATGCATCTCAGCACACACACCGACGCAGTTTGCTTCACCATTTTCGGTTCCGGCGGTTTGCATTTTTCACTACTGACTTGGTCCATTCCTTCGATGTCAGAATCCCCAGAAAAAGAATGCCTCCTTCTTTGACCAATTCGCAGGCAGGTTCTATCACTCAATAACCGTCACTATTGGTGTGGTTTTCGACTCCCATCATCCGTGTGTTCGAATGCTGGTGTTATCATCCTAGCCGCTTAATACCGACTCGGACTCTGTTATTTCTACTAGTCCCACAGTATTTTTACACTGCTGTTAACGAGGTCAGCATGATTCAATGGTTGAGATGCTCTTCTGATATTTCTTAACAACGGTATCCATATTGAAACCATCTTCGTCCACTGCGTTGATAGGATGGAAAAAGCCGTCACTTTTTTTCGTCATTCATAATCTAGATTACCCTTTTCACTTAGTCCGAGCTTGTGCTGCACTGCTTTGTCTTCTTTCCGTCGACACATCATTCTGATGTGTGCCGTTGCTGCTAATCTGCACACCCAGGGACTGTGCACTTCTTAAAATGTTCTACATAAGACCTAGCTTTAATGCAGCGAAAGCCTCGTTGCGGTTAATGTTGTCTCAATTTTGAAAGGCAACCTATCTCACTAGGTGTATCATTGGCCTATATTCTCTTTATGCGCTACATCTATCAAGAGAATTAGCCCCTCTTTTCTTCGTTCACTATTTCCCACTTTTGAACTTGCACCCATGGTCTTCCGCTCATTATTGTTTCCACTTTTTTTGCTGGCCTGTGGCAGGGTATTTCAGTCGTTTGTTTCGTAATCCACAAGTCATCGGTTCAAACTTGCGTAGATATATGTGACCTTGCCATCTACCGCGCACGCAACCTAGACGGTTACGTGGTAGCTACTGATTAGTACAAGTTCCCGCCGCCCTGCTGATACTCTTCCTAACCTTCACACTTGCTATCTGTGAAACCCACAATTCATTCCTTTTGTGTTCATTTGTTCAGGTGAGCGCCCACTTTACACATGGACCCGTCAATATTGTGATGCAAAATTGTGGTTCTTATGTGGGGACAAATACAGTCCGCAAGTGTCCGAAACCGCCATACCACCTTCGGCCAACACCTGTCCCCAAGGTTACGCTTTGTTCGGCGAAAAATGTTTTATGGTAAGTCAGTTTCATTGTATTGAGGTAATTCTCCTTTTTGTTTCGCTTTATCAGTTTGCCCACCTCATGTGACCCAGCGACTCAATTTGCCATAGATATTGATTCAACTCTCCTCGTTTGATCCTCCAGCTGCTGATGGGGTTATACGGTGTCCGGGATTTGTCCGTGCCCGTTGCTCAACGCCTTCACGACCCCATGCATAATCTACGGATAGGCATCGAGGTTTCGCTCCATCTGATATTGGACATTTGAAAACTTCGCCTCCGCTCACAATTTGCTGGCTTGTCCTCTAATGCGCGCAGCTTATTCAGTCGCTTGCAATGCACCCTTGGGACTATAAGATGTAAAGCAGGGACAACCTCAGAGCGCTGTTTTCCGCTCCCCTATGAACATCCACAGTTACTCCTTGCTTTGTCCACTTTCACCCTCTATCGTATTCCGACTATCCTACAACGCTCCCAGCCTTGGGGAACATACTTTCTCCTTGTGTTTCAACCGAATCTTAATCAACGTCTGCAGTCTGATTTCTCTCGTCATTCGCGTCGCAATAGAAGCAGAATAAAATACGTGTTAAATACGGTTCACACTTAGTAACATTGATAAACACACAAAATTGGTGTGCATGGCTTAACCAGGTCCATGGCAATCTAATTGATTACCACATTTGTTTCTATTCCAGAGCGCGGGACGATTCAATCTTACCAGGAACGCCTCGCTAATTAATTGTGGGTTCGTGGCAGCCAGTTTCCAAATCAGATAGTCGTCCACATGCCCGGAAAAGCACTAGACTGCAGTTTCAGCCTGTTGGGCATCATCAGTAGTGCGCATCCATCGGATCCATCAGGATTCGAACCCATGACCACCAGCGGCTTGAACCGCCAGTCAGCAGCTTATGCCACTGGGCCACGGGGGACAGCTTCGGACCGTCATGATTTGCCAGCTAACTGCGATATAGCGCGTCTTATCCTCCACTGCCATGCAAGTTACGAACGTTACAGAGGACAGGGTTGGCCCCGAAAGACACGACGTCCACTAACAGTAGCTATGTACGACATAGCATTTAGAAACTGTCAGGGCGGATGTAATTTGATGTACTCATGAGTAGGGGATTTTGATGTAATTAAGTGAGGTTCATCGCAGCCAGTTTCCAAATCAGATAGTCGTCCACATGCCCGGAAAAGCACTAGACTGCAGTTTCAGCCTGTTGGGCATCATCAGTAGTGCGCATCCATCGGATCCATCAGGATTCGAACCCATGACCACCAGCGGCTTGAACCGCCAGTCAGCAGCTTATGCCACTGGGCCACGGGGGACAGCTTCGGACCGTCATGATTTGCCAGCTAACTGCGATATAGCGCGTCTTATCCTCCACTGCCATGCAAGTTACGAACGTTACAGAGGACAGGGTTGGCCCCGAAAGACACGACGTCCACTAACAGTAGCTATGTACGACATAGCATTTAGAAACTGTCAGGGCGGATGTAATTTGATGTACTCATGAGTAGGGGATTTTGATGTAATTAAGTGAGGTTCATCGCAGCCAGTTTCCAAATCAGATAGTCGTCCACATGCCCGGAAAAGCACTAGACTGCAGTTTCAGCCTGTTGGGCATCATCAGTAGTGCGCATCCATCGGATCCATCAGGATTCGAACCCATGACCACCAGCGGCTTGAACCGCCAGTCAGCAGCTTATGCCACTGGGCCACGGGGGACAGCTTCGGACCGTCATGATTTGCAAGCTAACTGCGATATAGCGCGTCTTATCCTCCACTGTCATGCAAGTTACGAACGTTGCAGAGGACAGGGTTGGCCCCGAAAGACACGACGTCCACTGACAGCAGCGATGTACGACAGCATTTAGAAACTGTCAGGGCGGATATATTTTGATGTAGTCATGAGTAGGGGATTTTGATATAAATAATTGAGGTTCGTCGCAGCCATTTCCAAATCAGATAGTCGTCCACATGCCCAGAAAAGCACTAGACTGCAGTTTCAGCTTGTTGGACATCATCAGTAGTGCGCATCCATTGGATCCATCAGGATTCGAACCCATGACCACCAGCGGCTTGCACCACCAGTCAGCAGCTTATGCCACTGGGCCACGGGGGACAGCTTCGGACCGTCATGATTTGCAAGCTAACTGCGATATAGCCTTGCTAATTACCAACAACTTCGGATTTCTGTTGCACAATAGCACCTTGAATGAATCGAATGGGTTCACCTCGTGATGAGTCGTCATTAGGTACTTAGTGATAGACGAGGCAGGGTTCTGGTTCATTCTTTGGTCCGCTCCGCCTTGGTGAGACGGAAACTGCCTTAGCCTCAATGGGAAATGTTCACACACCCTTTGATCCAGTCCTGCTGATGTGTCACCGCACCTGCAAGTGAACTGGTACATGATATTAGAGTCCGAACTGATTGGTGTGCTACTCGGATGGCTGTTGAGAGGAATCCTTCGTTTAGTGTGGAGAAGTCCTAGTTGGGCGGTAGTGTAGTGTGTATTAGAATGGGCTTGAGCTTGGGGACAAGCATCATTTGCCACATGATCCCCCTTGAACAGTAAGAACAAATAAATATTCTTCTCCGCTGTATGTACTGCCAACTTCTCCTTGGGGGGTCTGCTATTGGTCTGAATGAATTTCTCCGGATACCCATTGTATAGCAGAGTCCGGTGTAAAAACTTTCTTCAGCCTTAAACATTTCCGGACTGCACATTCGCCTAACCCTCTAGAAGTGAGTTTTTACGAGGCCGCGCTTGTATGCAGCTTGGGCGTCGCGACTGACAAGGGCAATCAAAATGTTATCATATCGCAACCTATGTTTTCTTACTGCGTTAAGAATCATTTCTGTCGGTCGACCGCATGCTGGACTCAGATGGGACTCGCTGGCTTTGCTGCTGACACGCTTGTATTTGCTGTCTCTGAAGTATTACTTTTTAATGGGTCTCTCTTTAGTTGACATGTTGTCTGTTCAGTGGTAGTCGGTTTTACCGCTACTTCACCATATACTCGTCCATATCTGTGAAGTTTGGCGGCCAACGTATGCATCGCGGACCCCGTTCTCACGCTTATTGGTGGCATTCCTTTCTGCACCATAAGTTGTAGACGCATGAGGTGATCGACGCGGTCTACCCTCAAGCGAAACTCCCCATGCATCGTAGCAGCTGTGAGGATCACCACCATGATTTTGTGCCATTATTGAAACGGGATGACCACATTCCTATGGCACCACTCATCTATTCTCACTTCATTGGTGATCTCACGCTCCCGACACCTCATTTACTGTTTCAGTTTGATTTTGTCGCAAGAGATCTTTTGCCGACAGCTAACGTTGCATGTATCACCGGAATTTAACGATAGTCCTTGCTTGATGCCACGTCTAGTTCCACTTGAAATAAACCCAACCATTGCAATCTCTGTTTGTTCTGACCCACGGTTGCTATGCGGAGTTCGGTCGTTTGATGTCAGTGTAGTTGAGCATTACTAATCGATCTTTTGATCGATCAAAGGGTAATAGCGTAACATTATCCGATTCAGCACACGCGAATGGTGGCTTTTTTCTCCTTCTCCCTCCTGCCGCTATACTTGGAATATTGTCTCCGGATACGGCAAGCGTTGTTTTTCTAGTAGCTAAATCTTTATCAGATTGTGGTTGGGATTCGGATTATCATTCAGCACTCTTTATCATTTACGTATTTACTTACTTCCTCAGGCAAGACTTGCTCCCTCGGAAAAGCTCAATTGGCAGTCGGCACTGGAGTCGTGTTCGAAATCCACAGAGGGTGCAACACTTGCCACGATCTCATCACTGCTTGAACAAGGTATGGCATTGCTCTTCTTCGACCTTCTTACTCCCCTGCTCATCCATCGTACACTAATCTGTCCCTCATGTAACCTGATACCACTGATGTCAATTAGCTGTTTCCGTGGTGCCGCCATGGCTTTTCCGCCCTCCGTTTTTTATGTGTTTTAAAATTTTCATGTGCTCCATATTCGTTTGTATTTGCCGCGCGTTGCCATGAAACGGCGGCGCGATCACTTCGTTTGCTTGATCCACCCTACCACGTTTGCGGATTTCATTATCCTTAACATATTGGGGATTATTTTCAACACTGATTACTGTATTATTATTCACAGAAGATATATGTGCTACCCCATAGAAATTGGATGATAAACCTTAAGAACAGTTTCATTTGTTCGTAGCTAGCTTGTTCCCAATGTTCACACATGAAATTTTAATACTACATTGCTTTTTGAGAATCACACCTGTACGGATGTCATAGACAATAGCTGAAAGGTAATCTGAATTCCACATTCGATACGATATGCGTCCATAAAAGCTGTTTAATCTGTAGACTGATTTTGCCCTGACTGTGTGCTCCAGCAGACTTTTCCAAACATCTTCCAATCGCCTCTGGGAACATCTAGGGTGGGCGACTCGCTTTAGCTCTTGCACTACCGACATGTATTTGTGTCCACGTGTATTATATGATGCGCGCAGGTGGAGCAGCAGCTTCAACACAGGAAAGTCACCGAATTGTGATATACGGAACTCCATAGTGAGCTAGACTCGTACCCAACGACAGGACAGCTTTCATTGTTCTGCTACCTCGCATTGTGCTTTGTACGGCCAACTGTAAAATAGTGATGAGTTTGGTAGCAATATGTTGAATTTATTCGCTCACGACGCGCAGTCTTAGTGTTGACCACTCGCCACTGACTGAGAAGAGCGCTCTCCGGACGGCTTTTCTCGCTCTATTTGACAGGCCAGTTGGTATCGTTCATTATTTTGTGCAGAGCAGGTTTTTCGCGCTTATTTTTATCAAATTCACTTTCTTTTGCGATTCTGGATATGTTTATTGTGTAGTAGTTTGGTTTCCTTACACCTTACTCTGGTATTTCTATCGTGTATTTATCGTTTACTTTATCGCCTTTACTGTCACATCAGTAATGATGAAGCCGACTCCCTGTGGTACTTGTTACATAGTAGTCAGGCATAGAGCCAATACTGTTACATGCCTCATGTGTGGTGTGAATTCCCACCTTTCGTATATTAGTTTGTCCTTAGATTCTTTTAAACTATCGCGTACCATCCAGCATGACTTTGTCCAAAGATTGTGCTAGAAATGCCCAGCCACTGCGCAGTCACAAACAGCCAAGAAGCCGCGCTAGCCTACAAGATGGGTGGAACATTCCATAGGAAGGTGCCCCGTGGGTTCATCCAAGCAAGCGGAAACATAGTCCCCTTTAGGTTCGAACGAGCCGACCTGCCCGCCGGCTGCAAACTCTCCAGAGCGATGTCCACCGGTTATTGGAATCAGAGCTGGCGTACCTGTGTTACGTCCTACGGACACTAACATACCATTGTGCGATAGCGCAGGTGATGAAGACCAATGGAGGATGCAGCGAATCAAAAAAGAGAGGAAAACTGCCAAAATTCAGCGGCGTAGTAACCTTATGATATTTCTCGCACCTGAGTCGACGGATGCTAGTCCTCAGGCACGGTATGACCACGACGTAGCTTTTATGAGGAGCCTGACTGATGGAGTTCTCGATGTGAATGAACATGGGTTGCGGATGAAGCAAATCACCCGTCTTCGAAAGAGAGCAAGATATGGGGAAGTCCCGGCCTCTGCCAGTCACGTTTGTTGATGAAGCGAGTTCGAGGCTGATACTATTCCGCTTCGGTAGACTAAGAGGTCTCCAGATTCATGCTCGTTCAGATTTAGATCCATCGAAGAGAGAGACTGAAGTCTGCTATCGTGGAGTTGAAGCGGCGGACTGATAGTGGAAAAATCAATATTCACATTGTAAATTTTTGGGTAGTTCCCCGGGTCCGGCGAACCCGGACCAACAGGTCGATGACGCTTTGTGCGCGTCCGTCGGTTCCTACCGCGGCTTTTATGTAGCCTTCACAGATGTTTGCAGTTTAATGAACAAACGTGACGATTTGTATAATTACGTTGCCTCGTCGTCTGGACGTACGGGGACTGACGGAAACCTGGTTACATTCTAAGGTCACTACCCAGGAAGTTCAGACCCGTGGATAGTTGTGGCTCCGGTGGGACAGAATAGCAAACGATCGAGGCGGCGTACTGTTATACATTCGGTCCTCGCTGTGCGGGAGACTTCTACGCATTTACCAAAGCGAAGATGGACAGTATGAACAGTTATGGTGCTCGGCCCTCCTGAGACAGGGTGAGCTGTTTGTGGGTGCAGCTTATCGCAGCCCGCAAAGTCGATGTCTGGATTGGTTGCCGAATACCAGAAACTACATGAGTCGTCCCCGCTTCCTACTTATGGGTGATTTTAACTTCCCTCGAAGACAGTGGCCTGAGATTCAACTTCTCCCCGGGGCACTGTGAACTCGAGGTACAGTTTGTAAAGATGGTATTTGAAATTGGGGTAGCACAGCATATCTGCCAACCGACGCGCGTCACACCGCATTCCGCTCCATCGTGCCTGCACCTACTACTAACGAGTTGTGAGCAACGTGTATATGAAATTCATGTCCTTGAACCTCTCGCAGATACTGACCACTCGATGGTCGTAGCCAGCCTACTCGCGTCTGCCGAAGCCATCCGACAATTTTTGGAGGACCGACTTCAGTGGTCTAAGTCGAACCGCCAGTTAAGTGGACTGGTCACTACCGCAGGATTCATCTGTTGAAGTCTGTTGTTAAATAAATAAATAAATCTGTTATTCTCAACAAGGTAAGGCGCGCCTTTACAGGCATGATCATTTTGACATAACGATGCATGATCAAGGATGTGCAAAATTCCGATATATTTGCCATAGCAGTTTGTGTTTGTGTAGGGGGTATGTATGTATGTCATTGTGTGTGTGTGTATGTGGCTGTGTATTTCGTGCCTGTAATTGTGCTGCTTCAATCTTCATTGTTTGATATCGTCATCAATATGCGAGTAGGAGATTGGTGTCCGTGGGGTGGATAGAATTATCCTGATATCCACGGGGCTGTGACTTTATTTTGTGGCGAGTCACGACCGCCACGTCACATTGTTGTTAAGCAGACCTTTGTGGCTTTTTATAGGGAGAACGCTTGCCAGGCGAAACCCACCACGTCCTGGAACACTGCCGCCGAACTATTTTCTGGAACGGGTTAAACCCGAACCACCCAGCTGACACCACGAGGAGGTTGTTCGGCTAGTCAGAGGGTGTACAATCGTTGTGTGCTCGTTTCGTAGTCATCACGTGTCGGAAAGCTGGACTAGTGAAGCCACATTGGTTCGACTGGTAGTATGGCGAATTGGCTCGACAGCAACTCATATTGTCGAATAAATCTCTTGTGTCTGGCTCTGCTGACGATTGTGAGGCGTATAAAAGGCAGTGGAATCTATGCAACAACGTGAAAGCGTCGGCAGTTCGAAGAGGAGCTTGCAATCTCAGCGAAGACGGCCCCGAAGAAGATTTTTGCTTATGTAAAACGGCGCTTGCGGCCCGCAAGTCACATAGCTGTGTTACAGGGCACTGACGGTCAGCCTCTGACCTCCAGCACTGAACATGCGTCCGCATTGGCGGAGCACTTCGCTTCCGTATATACATGTGGATATGCGCCTATCCCGAGCTCGACGTGTGCAGCCCCTACTGAACTCGATGGCTTTGATTGCGGTGTAGAAAATATCCGCAGTTTACTCGCCAGTCTTGATGACACAAAACCTGCCCTACCCGGTAGACTTCATCTTATCGGCCATCATCTCGCCTGCTGTGACGGATCTGTTCAACAGATCGCTGTCCGAGGGTGCATTGCTGAGCGACTGGAAATGCTCGGTAGTGAAGCCAATCCCAAAAGTTGATGACTCACGCGATGTGGACAAGTACCGGCCGATTTGTCTTACCTCTGTTTTGCCGATGGTTCTCGAGAAGGTGAAAAAGCGTCTTCTCCAGCTGCTTGAGTCGAAAGATCTTCCAACGCCGGTACAGCGCGGCTTCATGAAGGGCCACTCGTGCATCACCAACCTGCTGTTGACGCGGCAGAAATGGTTTCAAGCGTTAAATCGGGGGAAGTCCGTGGATGTTATCAACATTGATTTCGGTGAAGCTTTCGATAAAGTGAACCATGAGGTCCCATTCTACAAGCTGAGGATGTGTAATGTTGGTGGTTTCCACCTACGATGGAGCACCACAGATTTTTATATTCCCGCTCTCTCTTCTCAATATTCAGTATTCACCCCCATAAAACAGTAGGGAGGTGGGGGATCGCACTCCAGCATTGGTCTTATGATGTAGGAGAAGAAACTAGGGCCAATGTCTTCAGGTCAAGTTCAGAAGCTGTGTTTGAGCACCCAGTGCATACGCAGTCTGCTGCATTATAAACTGTTTGCCTTGTCCACGGACTTCTAATCACAGCGGGTTAATACGCCTAGCTCTTTGACGGGTTGTTAGATGTAGCGGTTGGTCATTGAGGGTGTCTGTTGGACCCTTAGGAACATATTTTATTTTATTTTTTATTATTTTTTTATTTTTATGTATACCACTTTGATTGGGTTGACCTGAAGGCAAACTTCTGCAGGCTACGTGGCGAGGCAGTCAGGATATGGCGGAAATTGGCCGAAGCTCATACCTCTGTCGCTCGGACTATAGTCAGGCTTTCTCGGCACTCCGCTACGAGTTCATGCCCCCAGAACACGTGCTTACGCACAACTCTAGCGAAGTATACATGAATTCGGTAAATTAAGCGAATATCCGCCATCCATTTGCCTTCACACTATCACTTGGTATCTGTTGTTATCTTTGTGTCATTGGCCTTGCTTGAACACTTCAGTTCGCATTACTACGAAGGTGTCTACTGTACGTCAGCGCTACTCATTGACGCTTTGTTACTGCGCAAACGCGACGGGTTGCAATATACCACCTAAAATACTTCAGGAACGCTAGCCGGTGACCGATTGACAAATGGCATTTGCCTTGTAAACAACAAGTCACCGATTCGAATCTATGCTGATGCTGACGGCCTTGCTCTGAACTTCATTATCATCAACCATCAACAGCATTACGTCAGCCATTTAAACTGATGCTCCGCTGCCGCACAACCACAATGACCTGCGGAACAAAGAATGATACGGTGAGAAGGGGGACCTAGCGTACAAAATTAATGCCTTACACAAACACTAACGGTCAAGGCATCTACGCCTTGTGAACAACATACGATCACAAGCAGCTGGCTATCATGAAAAGATAAGACGGCATTAGCGAGACAGCTTCCTTGCGGCTTTCACTGCCCCGCAGATAACTCAGCACCACACACTTAAATCAGGTAGTCCGACTAGGAGACCACAGGAGGCATACCACTGGTGTTGACTGCGAGCTATGTCCTGTAACGTCTCTAGTCAAGCACATGGCGAGTCACCCAGACTCCAGCCTGGAAGAGGAGACGGACCGGCGCCACCAAGTTTGCTAGTCAGTGACTTCATTTCCTGCTGCCAAGTCAACTTTTGTCCACCTCGGGCCTTGCGCCAACCTACAACCTAAGTAAGTGGTGATCAGGCATACCTAGTACGTGCCCAAGCCAACGCAATTTACTTAGTGCCATCTATTCTTCTACGAAACTAGCTTGTTTATCACTGTCTAGCATTTGTCTACGCACATAATTGTTTCGGACACGCTGGTGCCATCCGACATCAGCAATGCTTCGCAGACAACGATGATCAAAGACTTGGAGGCGCCGCAGGTCCTCAGAGAGGAGGGGCAAATCTCACTCTCATAGATCAGAATGGCTCTCATTGTGGCTTTGTAAAATCAGCCTTTCAGACGGAAGCAAACCATTTTCTGACAGCACAGATGTCGCAGATTCAAGAAGGCAGTTCTGGCTTTTGTAGTACGTGCATTGCCTTTAGTTGCTATGCGCTCATCATTAATGTTACAGCTGCCAAGGTAAGTGAATTGATCAGGATCCCCGAGTTCCTCCCCATCAAGGGTCAATGGGTCACCAACTGGCTGGTGGTTCTGTAACAAGACATTGCACTTTGTAGGTGTGAAGCGCATGCCAAATGAGTCCCTAGCCTAAGCGCGACTGACGATGATCATTTGACAACAAAGTGTAGTAGCGACATGTCGCCGTTATGCTGACATTCTCATGGAGATTGTGAGATTGTGTGAATTACTGCGCCACTGGTCCGTCACCCATAGGGTGGAGGTGATTACCTGGTCGTCCTATCAAATGTATCTCACCTTTGCGCATTGTTTATCAAAGTGAAAACCATCCCTTTCCTCTCATTAATTCTCCGTTTGAACATCCTTTAACCTCATTTATTCGCTTTTCCAGACTACTTATCCATTTTACTTGCTCGCTTTACTGGTCCCTCTTGGATCGGCATGAGTATGATGAACGATGAACACCACTGGGTGAATGACCGAGAGATCACTTTCACCAATTGGATACCCAATCAACCGAACAATACTGCTGAGGTACGGTGGTTGGTAGTAATTTTTCACGTATCACAATCGCAATGCTTCATATCATTAATTGCGTGCTCGCCATCGTTTTACCACCCTCTGGTTCCGGGAACCTCTTACATCTTGGAGTTATTTAACGTATTCTTCTAACTAGTTGTATGCAATGTTCATCCCCCTTTCCCTTTGAATCGTGTGGTAAACTCACTTGTGTTACACCATGTAGGGAATTCCATTTGCTATACTGTCTCCCTACGAGAAATATCTTGCCACCGGATAGCTGGCATACGTAAGTTAGCATTCGGAACTGGCTGTCGTTGACATTTTCTACACTGCAAGCTATAAATCTGGGGCTTATTTGATTTCTACTGATGCAGCAAATTGTCCCCTGTTCTTTCAATACAAGAAAGTGCGGTAGTGTTTCGACTATCCCACGCAGTCAGGACGTGCTGAATTCCGGTACAGTGGTTGACATCGTTGAACACGAATCCTCCATTATCTTCTGATCGACTTCACTTGTGTGCTGTTTAAGCTTTAATCCATGGATACTTTCTTTAAGTGAATATACCACGTGAACATACTGTATGCGAATGTAACCTATAGGATAGTCACTTCTGTTTGACTGGTCCGTGGGATCCTATCTGTTCCAGTATGCTGCTACTTGGGACACGATGTTTTTCGCTGTTGTGTTTCCGCTGATAGTACGGATAACCAATGCAGCCACTCTGGTCACGATACAGCCACCTTCCAAATCAGAAGACAAAGGCCTCTGGCGGAACTTGTATGGAGCACTCGGGAGACAGAATGTACAGGCATAATATGTGATCAAAATAAATAGTTCATGAGAGAAAGACCTAAGTGAAAGATCCTGACGATAGCAACTACTAGATACTCAAAAACTCGCTTATTGGCTGATCAAGTAGTGTGCTTACTGGAGGATTTCAAGGCAGGTCATTCTGATTGATCCACTTCAAGGTAAAACGATACCATTGGCTAGCCAATCGGGTACAGGCAGCATACCACCAATCTTCTCCGGGATGCTCCAGACAGAGAAAGAGCTAGCTTCGATGGCTGCTATGGACAGGCCCTGATAACAGGTGCTACTGGCGGTAGACATGGAAATGACCTACACGTGTTTTTACATCGGCTTTAATCTCTCCCGAATGGTTACAAACCTGAAAACTGCGTTATTCGTTGGTAACACGTGTACTCAAGGGAATTGCCTAAACTCCCACCTCAATGGTCATTTCGTACCTAGTCTTTGTCTCTAGTACTTTTTATTTATTTCACTGACACAAAGCCCGCGTTCTTTTCACCATCTCTCTCACTCTAGCTTACCTGAGATTGTTCCAGGTCTGCACACCATGCGTCACTACTTCTTTATTTTAACGAGTTGAAAGACCACGTGATACACGAAATGGCATGTTCAACAGTTGATTGGCAGCATATGAGTGATGTCAACACCTCGAAGCATAGTGTGCTCAACGCATTTCGTCATTCGTGAAAGGAAATGCTCGTATGAAATCCCCGTTTACGCATTTAGGGAATCACGTGTGAGCCATTCTGCTGCGCGATGCTTACAGGCCATCGTAGTCAGTTATGCACAGTTTTCCTCTAGATTCCACGGCACTCATCTTTGTGGATCCACCCTAATAATTTCCGTGGCAGTTGCGCTTGTGTAACTACATTCTTCGACCAACTGGGTCTCAACTCTACACCCCCTTACGCTTTCATATGTTCTTTACTGGTTAACCTCGAGTTCTATTGCACCATGCGAGGCGGTGCTGACAAGTTTCTGGCTTTGCTTTCATCCAACTGGAGTAAAGGAACGCCTGTTGTGACATGTGACTTCCGGATATGTCACTATGTAACTTGTGATTCAAGCAACTCTCTTTATAATAGAGAGGTAAGCGGAGCCAATGTCCAGACACGAGGTCGCGCACAGGCTTACCGCGGAGCACATGCGCTGTCTGCTGCATGCGAAGGTCACTAGCGCCAGCGTGAAACGACCTTCGATTGTTTTGCCAAATTTGGGAATCGGGTGCAAACTGATTGCCCAGCAAATACAAGCCCGAATCAATGGAGGCGAACCATTCTGCCAAATATGGCAAATCCGTGGGACGGAATTAACTCACATCGGCTGAGAGCCAAACGCTTCCAAAATTAGTATGTTTCGTTCACCAGTAAATAGAACTGACCCATCGTGTAGAATAGACTCTCTGTTTACCGAGCCTTGGCCTTCTGTATCCCGTCGGTTGGTTGGGCGCGTGGCTGAGCCATCAGGCGGTCGTAGTCTCGCAGACGCAGAATAGCAGCAGTGCGAAGGCAGTTTTACAACAATTTACTCGTATGTAGAAACCTTAATGGCAAAGACACAAGCAGGTTGTTTGTGGATGGTATTGAGAGTGAGTCCTCATGATATTTCTGCTTTTTCAAAAACCAGTCAGCAACGGACATTCATGCTAAGGCGTCGGAAACACTGGGGAGGAAGGGTCACTTCTACAGCGCTGTCGAAACCAGGGTATCTTTTTTTAATACCGGATATTTCACCACTAGGAATAAGCTCTGCATTTGGCGGTCCCCGTACTCAACAGGTGAATGTTCGCAGAAAGTGCTGAGTTACTGGGCACGTTGGATTTGGCATATTTACTATGCCAGACATCCGCTGCCCTTCAGCAAAGTGAGTGCCGAAATCTTTGCACAGTGATCAGAAGGATGGGCGAACTTACACATCCAAAGCCATTATGTCTCCCTTTGAAGCTGCATAGGACTTTTCGCCCAAGTTGTTAATTAAAGTTGAAACATGAGTCCGTATCGAAGATCGCAAAACCAAAGGAATGTTGCCGTAAGGGGACCTCGTGGCCCAAGCAGTTCCGAGCCCAAAAATTGGCCAAAAACGTTATAGTGTCCGTTTTCTGAAGCAGTGATGGTAATCTTCTATTGGACTGTCTCTCTCCGGACATTATAATGCCAACCAGAACCTTTCAAGAGACAAATACAACCAAATGGGGTGGAAAGTTGACCAAAGGAGTCCTTAGGTTGCGATGCAATGGAACATTGTAACTGCTAGATTGAACACCCTTAGCTTCCACTTGATCCAACTTCCCCTACCCCCTTCGGAATATGTTCTGTTCTCGAACTTGAAGAAATAACCGGATGGGCAACATTTTGAGGACATTTCTAACGTCCACTATTGTGATAACAGCTTGTTTGTGACTTAACTAGCGATCTTTTATTTGAACCCTATTGTAAAACTGTAGGCTATCCGTACAACACACATAACTGTCTGGGAAGTACGTTGAACAAATACGCTGTTTCGCGACTGTTGCTCTTTGCTTCCCGGTAGAATCTAGGAACTTATTGGCACTGCTTCGTATAGTACGTCGACTGCTCTGTGATCAACGAATGTGATAATAGATCGGAAGACTGCTGAGGCCAAGTCACACTAGTTTATTTTCACTTCGTGCCGATATTGGACAGGTATCTCTATCTCTCCCCAGTTACTCCTTACCCCTTGCTCAGTTTTATGGTATGATACCTGTTGATTTCAAACGTTAATGTGTTTAGAGCATGTCTCCAGCTTATACGTCCGTCAACGCGTTACGTCCATAAATATCACCCTTTTACATCCTACTTGCTTTCCTTTCTGACCGTTGGATATTTCACCCTGGCACATTCTGACATCCTCCCGCTGCGCTGTGCTCATTTCCAGCCTCGTTGCACTATCATGCACCAACGACCACGACACTTTGGCCAGTGGGAAGACGTCGTTTGCAGTCATGAGCTGAACTACATTTGCCAAGTGCCCCCAATCGGTGAGTCCCATCCTACGCGAACGTCAATAATTATTGTTCTTGTCACATGTTCTTTGCACTCTTGGATGCATTACGAGAATTTCTCTTTTGCGCCGTCCTCTCTTCGAACTTTGGCAACACGTCAATTGAACGTCAGTGCCCGTCATTTGCTTACTCGTCTAATGGTGATCCAATGATGATCCGGACGCTACCCAACAGACTGCTTCTAGTCATTGCATACTTTGACATGCACTGAGCTGTCCGACATATTCACATTCACGACATTTACTGGAAGTGGCTAATCGGTTCACCCATTTTTACTTAATCCTTCTTTAAGAGCGTGATTTACCGTGCTTTTTCTAAGCTGAAGGTACGACACTGCAGTACAGCCGGTGCTACTTTGTGGCTCTGGAAAATTCCATTTCATCGCCTTTGTTTTGTTTGTCTGCCATTCATCTCTCACATTTGATTTGGCCTATCTCGGGCAAGTAATCCTGTGCTGCACCCACTGGCGCCTATCAAGCCACCTACTCATGCCTCGCTGAGTCATTTTTGCGTTTCGGTTCTTCTTTCCTTCCCCCCTTCGACGGGCATCTTCTGTTTTCCACACCTTGTTTAATCGCATCTCCACCCTGGTTTTTCGGCGACATAGGGCTCATCCATGCAATTGAACGCCACCGTCCCGAGGTAAAGCCACAGAATTGGCTACACCACCTTTGGGATAATCTATCATCCCACATGTTGCATTTGCGGAGTTACTGTTATAATCTTCTCACTAGACGCGATTCCGAAATTGCCACTTTACTGCTGCACAAAACTTCTAGCCCAACCGAAAGAATAGCAGTGCACTAATGAGCTTGACGTAATGACGTATTAACCGCCGTCAACAAACACTTTACACCTACCGCGGACTTTGACTGTATTTATAGGTCTCTCATTGACCTCCAACTTCTGGAATTGGAAGGTCAACTACCAAGGCTAGTGGTTTCCCATAGCTTTGGCCGAGGTGTCAGGTGGTTTGTAGTCACATGTAAAACTTAGAACATTCTATAACGTTCGAAATCGATGCGATAATCGTTAATGATCGATTAATCGCTAAAATAGTGGATTTTCCAGGCAATTTTTACTTTCTCCCGGACACTAGCAAATGCTGGGTCCTATCACTTGCGTCTATCATTTTGGTTTCGCACTTAATAATTCCTCCAACCATTTTATCTTGGGTGTTTACTCTTTTGCGCCCGTTGTTTGTAATTTTTCTATTAATATTCTGGCACTACAAGCCCATTGCATGTTATTTTACCCACTCTTTTGAATTTTATCAGGAAATTTGCAACTCCTATCTGTGCATTGGATTTAGCCTCGTTGTTCTCCTTTTTCAACGGCTTTTCCCGCTCTGTGTCTACCTACCCATCCTTTTAACAGGACGTCTTCACATACTGGACGGTGTTGTAGATTAGAATTATCTCACCTCAAACGCCTTCACCTTAAATGTTTTTTTTACCGGTGTAGTATTTGCCCCAGCTGTCAGGTATTGATTTTGTCACAACAAGCTAGTTGTCCTCGTGCCCATACCCCTTTGTATCTTTACTGGTGCACTGAACAAACACAATATTACTTGACATTCACATTGACTGAGATAATTCGAACGTCGACTGACCCATATACCAGCTTAGTGCTCTTTTCCGTTGCCTGCTGTTCGCACTGATCTACTAATTAGTATTGTTGTCGTAAGTTTTCGTGTAATGTACGGAATAGATCATGTCCATGTCGCTAGAGCGTCCCTTATCCATTCTGAATATTTGCGCACTAGGTCTGTAGTAGACGTCCATGCTCAATGTGGGACATTCTGAGGTCTCCGGCCTCAATGCAGCTATCGAAGGTACGGCGGGTTGATCGAACCGGCCGGCAGGTCATGCATTCAAGCCTTGTACCCCGCAAACCCAGACCGAACGTACGCGCGGGGTCAGCAACGATGAACTGCACTGTCACGGTGGCGACAGACACCTGATCCACCGCTCGACTGAAGCAGGGGCTAAGTAGCGAAAAGAGCTAGTAGCCATGTACACAACTGAATGGGCACTTACAACTAGCCCTGGGAGGCTGTTCTTACGTAGCATAGCGGTCGCGTACCGTGGCCAGAACACGTGCGAGCGAGGTAACTAGGGCTTGCCGTGTTGCTAAATTTGGCCGCACAGTGTAAGTCCCGGGTGAATGGATGCACACCATCGGTTCACATACTACGCCAAAGTTCGATTTGCCTCGATGGAACACTACAATTGCATGTGTGACCGGTCTCAAGAAACTCATTCATGTCAGCATTGATCTGTCCCTATGCCATCACACTCTATCGCCCCGACGAGAAATAAACTTTCTTAACAGTTAGTTCCCTTCAATAGTTTGAATAACACAACGAGAGGACGATTACTGGTAAATGTGCGCATTTCGTATTGTCTCCTCAGTGTCAATACAATAACTAGAAAGTATCTTATACCATCCCAAGGGTGTTACCAACCAATCAAATGCAGTGAAGTGGACGGCGACAATCGTCCTAAGACCAAGGTGTCCGTAGGTTAGCAACTGACTGTTTCTACACACACAGGGCAGGCCTTAGCTGGTTTGTATCCAGGGCCTCGGCGAACCGCAAGAAGCGTGGATTGGGATGACGTAGTCTCCGAAAGGCGGAGCCGGGGTCAATCCGATAAGAGGTCAATAAGACATGTCAGTCTATAGATGATGCTGGGGGTTTACATGCACACGGAATATTGGGCGAGGGATGGCTGACGTCACATTGAACCCATTTGACCAGGTGTTCCTTCACTCTGAATTTCAAAGCACTCCCATTCTTCAAAGCTGAATTTAGGGAGCACGCTGTGTGGTTGGGTTGCGACTCGTAACCTCTATTGAGACCTCGGCTCACTTTGAGGTAAACCTCGGTCATTCCAATCTCGAGGACCGTATCCTGAATGGATATATTTGGGTGTTGCTCTTCCCAACCCTGGTGTGCCAAATTAGCAGCCGCGGAAGGTATCTTCTCTTATCACGCTGTATTTCATAAGCACGCTTTCCACTCCCACAATTTGTCATTCATTTTTCCGAGTCAATGAGCTACGCGCTTTGTACAATGCGTGATTCTCAGTATCCGCGAGGACTAGATATTGTCTAGAAACGCAGCCTCTCAGTTCCATGCTAATGGAATATTGCCTCACCAGTGAATATCTTGGAATGGACGCTGATGGTCCCGTCTGAAACAAATTGGGCAGCGTAACCGCACTTGTTTCCTGCAACGGCGAACAATATTGCGACGGTAGAATAGGCTACTCGGCAGCGGGTAGTCTTTAGGCGGCATAGCTTTTCAAGACTCCTTTTCCAAAACGTCACATTTCATATTTGCAAGGCCTAATTGTAAGGAATGCCTATTTTGCTAAGGTAGGTTGTTGGAAGGTAACTTTCAGTCTACAAGCGCGTTGTCATTAGCTGGAATAACACTAAGCACCTATTGCACACTCCTTGCTCAGGCCAGTTACGCTTTTTCGAAGCGCCACCACAATTCTACCGCAGTAGCCGGGCAATCAGGCACTGCTGTTTCGATTTTGCACACCTGTCTCCGTTCCAACCAGCCCTCCACACTACATCTATCGGTAGGTTAACCTGGCTTGTGGCGTGCCGTAGGTTATCTCCAACTCAACCATCCCCGCATGATCCAGCGTTTCCACGACGGACGACACTGGCAAGTATACATGTACTCACATGCATGAATACAGTCGTTCTACGCCCATGTGACCGGGTGAGACATTTTGAGATAACCAACATCTACTATTTGGACAGTTGGTAATTTACTGCACTCTACCTCACACCCGGAGGAATAACCCTTTGTCACGCATTAACAGAGTATAGGGACCAGACTTTTGGAACTTACCATACATGTTTTTAACATGAATGAGGGCGGAGGATGTACTGCACGATGTTATAGCTTGTGATGGTCGCCGTCCTCTATAACTCGTGATCCGAATGGTGAACACTGCAGGATTCGTGATAATGTTAGTCTTTTATGAGTCCCCTGTCACTCAGCACTTGTGTGTAACGATCACGTGGCTAAGTGCGGCTGCCTCGAATCTCCATAAAATAGTTTTGTTCTTATTGTTCCAACCTCTCGCATTCAAGTTTTCTGTGTCTTTTCTGTCCCTTTCCCCGAAGAAAACCGAAATTTGCAGCCAAAACCGGTGCCACCGTTCCCCCACTTCCAGGGTGCATGCAATACCAGTTTCATAGAGTTCCGCGGACGTTGTTATCGCGTCGAATCACAACTGACCAATCAGACCAATTCAGCCACCACCACAATGAACAAACAGCTGTGTCCCTCTCGAGTCGCCCCACATTCACCTGAGGAGCACGCCTTAATGCGTGTTTTGCTGAACACCAATTTCACTCAGCCGGCGAGTTACGCTTGGGTTGGTCTCGTACTAGATCGTAATTTCTCGGAACGGGGCTCCGTAAGTGCCATATACCAATGCTTGCTCACGCAAACACTTGTTCACCACCTACTTACTTATTTTTCAACATCTACTCTCCCTTGTGATTCCTAGATTCAAATTCGGTATTTCACTCATTGTCCTTCTCCGCATGTGTGCCTACATGCTGCCGCAAGGGTTGTCGCAACAGTTGTGATTCGCTGTTCTCCATCACATGAATAGCCCACTCATTCATTTGTGAAGCTGGCGGCTTAGAGTACTTAACGTCACTTGAATGCTGCAATGGCACACGCGTGTTTCAAATTTCTCACGCATCTTACGCCGCGGAGGGCTCTATAGCTAGCTATATATTTGTTCTTCTCTCTCTTCCCTACCGCCTTGCGAATTTCGTGAGTTACCTGATCGCAGCGTTTCGCTATGATGTGATTTCTATTCCTTCTTCCTCCAGCTATGCGATCGGTTATTTTCTGAGTGTCTCTGCTCGCACGTGTTTCGACCAACTTCATTTGTGGGTCCCATGCATACCGAACTAGCCATGCGCAGTTCTGTTATGGTGCTCACCCACTTCGCTTGCGTTTTTGGCTGCCAATTGATGAAACCACTTTTCCATACAATAGTTTCCCTTTACTAATTTGGAAGTAGCAAGGAAGTGCATTTCAACAAGATAATCGGAATTCAACCATTTCATGTATTCTCGTCACAGGAAACTGTCGTCAAGATTTTTTAAAATCATATTCCGCCAAATCTAGTAGCGAGTGGTCCGAAGCTGCTCGACAGTTTAGTCGCCCAACACATACTTGACTGCCCCATGTGTGAAAACCCACGTGAATCATTTAGGATAGTCAATCGACAGATCGCCGCTCGCCTTCTTCACTTCGCTGGATCTTCGGCCATTAGGCGGCTGAAAAGGCATCAGTAGTACGCCGTTAGGCAGTACCGACGCTTCGCTGCCGCGCAACCACCACCAGTCCTGTGTGAGCTAAAGTCACCTGGTCCCCTATGCAGGTTCTAATCCGCGACCTCAGGAATACAAGACGCCTGAAACCCTCTTTGTGTATGCAAACCGAGTTCATCGCTGGTCTCACCTTACCTCGGTGAGGCTGGTGGCCAGATTCCTCCAAGTGGAATGTCTTCCAGCATCAGAAGAACTTTGGCCGTCATCGACTCAGCAATGACGTTACCTCTGCATGTGACAGCCATTGCGCGAATGGCATATAAACGGCTGCTGACAACTCTGTACCGAATTCATGACTGAGCTCTGTTCGGTCACTGAGAAAAATCTGCAATCCAACTCTCACCGCCTTCGTCCACTTTTCTAGCACGTACTACACTGACCGAACACCGGTTACTACATCTGGTCGCTAACGAGTAATATCACTAATCGACCACTTTCCACTCCCCCGCCTTCCCACCATACCTAAAATGCATTTTAGATCGGGTCTTATCTTAAACCTTGCATGCTTAAGAAATCGTGGCCAAATCAGCACTACCCGGTCTGAAATGTTTAGCTCCACAGGTACCGTCTACCCTCTTTCATGACCGCCTATATTCGCAGATTGCAACGATTTCAATCGGCTTTAAGCTCCTTGACAGAAACACTGTTTCGTTCAGTCCCCTGTCTAATACTCGAGGGTTGTTATCTCTCTATCTATCTGTATATGTTCGCATGGCTTCGAATCATGTCGCCTTTCTCTCGAATTAGACAATGCTCACAGTTGTCTCGCTTACTGGTGGAACTCTTTCGTCTGGTCATCCGCGGTTCGATACATGTGATCTGTACAATCTTATCTCTCGTCTCGGATGTCTAAATCACTCAGTTGGTATATCTTCTTTTTACACATCTGTGGCACAACTGAGCTTTGTCCTGGTGTGGGGCTTTGCACACCCACGGCGCATTCTAATACCTCCCTCCTTGAGCCCCTCACAAGAAACTGATTACTGAATAACCGGGAGACAAAGTATGTTCCAACTCCCTTCTGTTAGGAGCATCATACAGGTTGACGGCTCTCGCTTTTCAACAATCAACTCTTGAGCGTGATAAATCATGGTTCATAGACTCATCTGGACTGAGGCAGAGCACGAGCGCGACGAATCGCCCCTGACGATTAGAGCGAACCCTACTTACTCGCTGGTCTACTGTCACCTTACTCCAACGAACTAGCTCTGGTCTAATGGGAGGTAGACTCATTCAAACGCACCCACGGTTGATCACGGCTGAAGTGAGACACATCATCTTTTGTAATCTTCTAGGGCTACATTTGACTGGTCTCACGCAGATCCCTGTGGAGATCTGTATGGGCGTTCTCTAGCTGGACCGTATCCCCACTGCCTTGTGAACCGTACTATTGAATAAAGCACCTCCATCCTCTTTCCCCGATTGGATAGTCCAAGTGTGTAATATACGGATGAGGGGTTTTTCAGTTTCCCTTCATATTCTGCCTTTTCTGCCCACGTCACTCATCTATTCCCAGGGTAACCAACAGAACACTTTAATTGACCTCACAATCTATGCTGCCTGTGTGCCTGAATCATTTGGAGAACTAGAGATCTCGATTATCACTGCAGCTGTCTTACTAGGCCTTCACCTCACCAGCTTACTGGATGTAAAGATGGCGGTAGAAACTCTAGAACCGAAGTTTTCTCTCGGATCTGGGGGCCGGAGTGTCCACTAAACTGTTACTGACTTTTATTATGCTGTAGCTGTTCACTTCTCCTCGAAACTCTCTTCTCCTTAAGTTAGCCAACATGAACTCGCAATCTGTCGCCGCTGTTCCCAAATCGTTTGCCAACCTACTGTTCGTACTGCATGGTAGATTTGTTGACTTGTTGCTCTTGCTCTCAGTTTGGACCATCCCCTTGGAGTCGATGATTTGTCTCTTTTAGAAACTTGACCACAAAGTGGTATTGCCTTAATTGTTCTCTAGCTGTACTGCTCAGCTTTTCTCAGTAATGGTTATCTCTTTCGTGACTCTGATGATTCTGGATCAATTACTCGGGCTACCTACTTTGTCACTGTGTACTCAGTAAACAGCTCGAATGGATCGCAGTGAATAGCCATATTTCCGTCGGAATCGATAGACGTCATCCGAGGGTAAGGGGTTTTTTGGCTGTTTCAATAAATAATTTAGTCAGATGTCCAAGTAACTGATAGATCTCTGAATCCGAAGGAATTTGGGTCTTGTCCGTCCGAAAGCAGCAGCGTTTTTGGGTGGATAATTCCCAATTTCCTTCTGCTTCATCAGCTACGGTCCCAGTGACCGAACTGATCAAGGTTCAATTCAATGCAAATTGCGGTCTACATTGAGATTGCGCCTCATACTCCAGCCACATGATGTGTACTTCAAAATTACCCTCCAATCGGGATCTCTGAATCCTCTGTTAGCCTGATCAGACACCTTGAATGATCCCGTTTGGTATTCACTTTCTGGGCACCCTCATTTTCATGTAATTGCGCGTACTTTGTACCTTAGGATGGACGGGGGACGCCTGAGGACAAGAAGATCCGGGAGATGAAGAGAGCCAGTGTAATTGGGATCATTCAACTACCGTTCCAACTCCTTCGACCTCCGGTTCCCAGAAAAGCTCTAGTATGCGGGACAACCGCTGAAAAGGAATGAGTAACTGGTTCACTCTTAGTCGCGTAATTTGAACACCCAACTGAGCCTCAGGAGAAGCATTCCGGTCAGTTTGTTATGTCGGTTGTATCACCGGGACTCAAATGAAACCTTGAGCTCGTATTTATTACCATCGACGAGGTGTAACTAGGCTTAACTCGTAATTCACCTTCTTCCATTGCTACTGGGCAACGACAGCGGTTCGCTGGTATCCTGTCGGAACTGTTTAACGATGTTGAATACCGTTCCTACTACTGTAAAGGTTCAACGGACGTTTTGTGCGAGTAATCTTGGCACTAACCTCATCCAGGCTGCCACAAAACTAGTTACTTAAGTTATGCTTGGGCAGCTCATTAGTTATCTTTTACTCCAATAGACGCGTTTTACTCTTCCTGCGGTACTAAAACAATACCAGGAGAGCAGTACAAAAGAGGTACGTTTCACATCCAATGAGAAATGAGCTTGTCTACAAGGTCCTACTAATAAATACGGCGGTAGTACTACATGCGGTGGGCTTTGGACACGAAATCGCCTGGAGCTATGTAGATATCATTAGGAGCCGTTTAAGAACAACAAGCCGAATATTAATCACTGAGACGGTGGAAATCGCGATGGCCATTAGCTGCGTGAACAGACTAGGCGAGGTGTAACTATCAAACACAAGTCTAAACAGAGTCGACGGACGAACTCGGGTTTGAACCATAGTGTCTCCAACTGCCATCACTAGAACCAACAGCAACAACTATACAGCCTTTCATATGGAGGACTCGTGACGCGGATCAATTGCAAAACTCCCATGCTCATTGTACCACTGAAATGACTCCTAGACCCTTTGAAACCACAATTATCCACTGCTCCGAAATGTTTCTCTCATTCCTCCTAATTTCTTGTGAAAGCTAAACCAATTATGTGCCATTTCACCTTACTTGAAGAAGCTCTTGTGTCAATGGAGAAACCGGTTTTTACTCCAAAACCTTCCAAAACTACGAATTCCCGACTTGTCCCATGTTTATTAAAGGATATTGAAAACCGCACCATATTTGACAAGGGCTCACCCTGGTATGCTTTCTTAACTGCTTTTGATTCCGTCGATAGTACTCGCGCTTCACTATTGCCTATTTTTGAGCGCCATCGCACAGGATGTGTAAGCGGATCGCACGGTCAACTGTTTTCCTACTTTTCCACACGAACTGCACTGCTCTTTCTCTGTCATCCCTTGATTGAACTGACTATAGCTTGTTTGTCTCTGTTTTTCCTACCTAAGGATTGTGTTGGATGAATGGCTATTGCACCCAGATTTACTCCCGATCCGGGTGCCATGCATACGTTTGCAGCCCTGCTGTCTCTTCACAGTTCCATTCTGGGTTGCTTGTTCCTCGCTACCTCAATTTTCAAAATACTCGCACTACCGGATTGACTATTCTAGCTGCCACTGGATGAACCGCCACCCGAAGCTGTCCATCGTATCCACATACTCATCTAACGGTATCACTTCTTATTGGGTCCTGATCACTTTTGAAACCTTTGCTCATGTTATGCATGTATGGAGTCCAGTTACCGATAATTGTGCAACACCATCACCGCCGCGGCACAGCCTGTTTGGTTGTTTGGATCGGGTCCATGGTCATTGCGAGTTGATAAGAGCGTGGAAACACGGGTTGTATTCAGCAACTAATACTCGCGCAGTACCCATTTTATCCAGTGGGAATACCGAGTGCGCAGTTTTTGATATCCATCCGCCGGTGATTGGCGATAAACCTTATGTCGCTACACTACATGATCTTTCGCACGCGGAGCATATCTATTCTTCCTATCCCTAACGACTACCTTCTCCGCTGACTGGTTTGGTTAAAGTTGAGCCACCACTCTGTTGGGTCGTGCCTGTATCTTGCGCTCTCTCAGGTTGTGTTGATTAGACAATTCCCCAAGATGGTCAGTCGAGGATATGGCAAAAGCTTATGGATAACCTGACTGCGTGTATTGATCGTTCTGTGTGTCTCATCTTCCCTATATGGGGAATCCGTGATCAGCCACATCAGTGGTTGAAATCTTATCCGACGTGGCACAGCCACCGATCAATCCTGCCCTTGCGTTATTTCTCTTTCATCCAGCCGTTGAACTTTCATTTCGGTTGTACTCACTTTTGTTTTGGTTCATTTTTCACCTCGTTTTCTCCTTGTTAATTTTATCACAGCAGCGATACGAGTCATGGAACGGACCCCATCGCCCTGAATAATCACTGTGTATTGGCATCGGTTTGATGCATTCAAACGAGCGCTTTTCTTCTTTTTTCCTTATCACATCAATTCAGTTGAATCTGAAGGCGGAAGACGGTTTACCAGTGTCCACCACTTCTGCACTGGATTTCTCCCTTCTTTCTCTCTCCGACTCGTCTCGCATGAACAACGCAAACAGCACTCATTGCTTCGGTATCAGTTCGACAGGGACAAATTTAGTCTGGCTGAACTGCTCCACGCGGTTACCATCAATTTGCGGATATGCATTGCGTGAGTCACTCTTATTGGCGGTTTCATTGTGCACGTACTAGGTTTTGTTCCATCTTGCTAACCGGTTCTGTCTGACACTTATCCGTCAGCATCAGTCGGACACTGCTACAGTTAGCACGTATGTTGTAACTGTCTTTATATATTGTTATTATATTGACTCACCAACCTTAAACGGCCTCCTTTCTTGCACGTTCGAACAAGCAGGTTACTTATTTCTTCGTTTTGGAACTCTCGCCTTGTGGATTGTTTACGACAAGCAGTCTCAGTTGGACCTGCGACTCACTTTGAATTGAGCCGTCCTCAATTCGGTCACCGATATCGTATCGAGGGCAGGTAAGTACTGCTTGGGAGACTTCTTTACAACGGTGTCCACCAAAACCCTAAAATATTGAGATCGCATGGGAATTCCGACTACCAACAAGGAAACATGAGGAATGAGATCGAGCCACGGATGGAACCTGTAAACCAGTTGACAGTGGGGGTGCACCAACTAAACCACCCCTAGCTGCTCCATTCAATGGGGCAGACTGCGCTCCCTAGTATGAATTACGGCAGCGATGCTGTCCCGGATTGCCTCATTGACACCTGAGTTCCATGGGTAAGTAGCACAGATAAGTTGGATGAGTTTTCGGGAATTGTCCTCGTCAATGGCACCTGGCAACCCGTGTTCTCGCATCATACTCATTGCTGTTGGGGATTTTTCTTCAATATCTCTGCAGGTCAACGTACCTTTCGGGTATGCATTATCTAATGCGCTAACAACTGATAGTGCCACACAGAGCGGTTCCCGTGCCGTGTTATGCAACTGAACTCTTATCCCAGTCAAACTACACCTCCGGAGCGGAGGAGCGGAAACGTTAGGCGCGCAAGGAATTTTGGTAGGCTTACCTAGCTGATGGGGTTGAGACAAAAGAAAAACAGCGTCAGCAGTACACCGATACACCGTACCGATGTCTTCCTACCACTCTACCATCACCGGTCGCGCGTGAGTTGGATATACTATGCGGTCGCCCGCATCCCTACGCGGATTCGTACCGCGGTGACCGCTGAATTTCACGTCAGAAGTCGCGTAATCCTTTCGACCATCGGTCAACACGGTGTAGGCTACTGTAGTGATAACGGGGAGTGGATACTTCCTTTGTGTGAAGATGCTCACCTATTTCTTGTGAGCACTAGCTTCCGACACAACACCCGCCGGAGGGTGACATAGCGCCCACAAGCTTTGTACACCAATCGATCACATCACGATCGGTTACCTCTGGAGAGGCTACATCCAGAACTATCACACGATTCGAAGCGCGAGCGTCGCCACTGACCATGCACTTGTATGTGCTGATCTCCGCGTGCATTTTGGCGGACGCCCACAACGACGCAGTGTGCGCACAGACAGCAGCCAACTGTCGAAGCCAGCTGTGCTGTATGACTATCAAACTACGGTGGCATCCAGACTGAGTAAGCGCTCACTAAATACTGTTGTAGGTCACTGATCGCATGTTCACCAGACCTTACTAGCAACAGGTAAATCTTCATGTGGTAAATCTAATATCCAACATGGACATTGGGTCTCTTCGTAGTCACTGGAACTTATCGATGCTCCCCAATATATTCCGCATGGAAGCGAGCACAACGAGACTCGCAATAACCTCCGGACAATACTCCGTGCTGGTTTGAAGTGAGACGACGAAACGTGATGGTCTCATCCTGCGTCAGAGATGAAAGTGGCCACTGCCCTTGCTAACCATCTGAAGTTATTCCGTCTGATACGGAAAACGGTCAGCAGTGTGGACAGCCTGTCCACAACTTGTCAAAACGCTTGGAGCGTTGGCCTGAGCACTTTAAAAAGCAAATTAATTGGTCGCAATCGTCATATTTCTCACCGGCCACTGATCACTCTTCTCCCTGGACTGTCCCTTCGGATCCGCCCTCGCTCACAATTCGAGATCGGACTGCGGAAGTTGAATAAGGCCGCGAGACCGGATGATCTTCATCCAGTCCTCTTTAGATTCTGGGGACCTGCTCTTTTAGCCGATCTGCATAACTTACTAGTGCATCTATGGGAGCAGGAAATGTTCCAACAGACTGGAACCGCTCCGTTATATTTCCGATCTTCAAGGGAAGCTCATATTCAGAATGCGGTAGCCATAGGTAAATCAGTCTGGTCTCCAACGTTCCTGAATTACTTACCTCTTTCATCCTTCACAGATTGACTGGCACTCCTGAAAGCCAGATTCGTGATGAGCAGACCGGGTTTCGTCCTGCTCGAGGTTGCATCAATCACATCACTTTGCGTCAATTGTTGGAGCACCGTCACGTATATTGGTAACCTACCGTTGTTGTGTTCCTCGACATCAAAGATGCCTTCCATTCGGTCAATCGATGTGTCTTTTGGGACTATATACTCAGGCAAGTGTGCCCGAGAATTATCTAAATATTATCCGTGTGTTGTACGCGCATAGTTCGGGCAGAGTGGTGGTTTACAGCAAGATGTCGCCGCCCTTCAATATCTCCAGCGGTGTAACTCAGACATGCCCATTGTCACCTTTCCTTTTCAACTCTTCTGTTGACGACGTAAGGGTGATCGCGTTCACAGGACACGAGTTGTGTGAGGCTGATTCCAGGTGACCCGGTGGCTTAGAGTTTCGACCACAACTAACCTCCAATCGTTCATGGCTTCGATGCCTTCTATCTCTATCTGCTAGTCGGCTGGTGGCTGGGTGGTCTGCACGCCTGGCTTGCAATCATAAGTTCACCGGTTCGAATCCTCGTACGGGTGGGTGTCTTGGTGGTATACAGCCTACTTGCCACTTGTGGTGGTCGCGCGGCGGCGGAACGCCGTTACGGCATGCAGCTGACGACTTGCCGGCCCGTAGCCTAAAGGTACCGGGCTTGTCTTGTAATTTGACGACGCAGGTTTGAGCCTGCGTAGGGGCAGGGTGACCCTCGCAGGATCCTTAGCCCACATGCGACTGGTGGTGATTGCGCGGCGGCGAAGCGTCGGTACTGCGTTCCGGCGTACTACTGATGCCTTTCTATTCTTTTTCAGGTGAACGGCTTCTTGGCTTAGAATATGCTGACTACGCTGATGATGATGCCCTTAGCTGTGACGGCTCCCAAATGTGCCAAGCAGCACTAGACAGCTTAGCAGTAGCTGCCAATGGTTTCGGGCTTTACTTTTCACCCTCGAAGGGCAAAGTTTTCCTCTAAGATTGGCAGGGACCGCCTCCTGTGCTGACCCTTGGTGAGGATCAGCTAGAAGTCGTTCAGAATTCAACCGACTAGGCAGTTGTATCAGCGTCTGTGGAAGCGAAGACGAGGTCACGAACCCTATATCATAAGTTTAGGGCGCTTTTGCAACCTTTCGATACTTATGGTGACGGTGTGACGTCACTCACTGAAGGGTAGAGTATACAGTGCATTCGTACGTTTGACCCTGCTGTACGATTGTGAAATCTGGCCCATCAAGTAAACAGACTTACATCGGCTTGTTACCTTCGATCAACGCTGCCTTTGCAGTTTGATGATGATGATGATGCGCGTGCTCCGTACCTTGTTTATGGTACAAAAAAGTAAGGTAGCTGCTCAGCACCGTTGTATCACGCACCAGACTCTGTTCGCTGGGTCACATGTTGCGCATGCCAGCACATCGGTTCCCGCGACGTGCGTTGTTTGCGCGCTGGGGGTGTGGAGGGGTGACGAAGTGATGATTTGGACAAGAGGAATGTAGGCTCTTAGTTCTCCATTGGCCTCGGTTAAAACCTCTCGGCTCCCTGATTGGGGTCCGAATGACGATGAACACGTTTGACTGGATACAAGTGTCTACTTGACTAGGAATCGCCCTCAGTGGTGTTTATGTTGTGCATTTTTGTGCCTCCTCCTTATGCTTAGCCTCCCCCTTCAGCCACGGTCTTCTTTCCTAGGCTGTATAGCCGGCTTGGGAAATTTCATACCGGATTTTCCCTTCATAAACTTCAAAATAACAAGAAAATCTACATTTCAACAAAATAATCTGAATTCATATATTTCCTGTCTTCTCATCAGCTGTGTACAGACAATCGGTGGCATGTTTGCCGCACCTACAACGCTACAACAATGTGGGAAATGGTTCTGTTTAGATAAAACTAATCGATAACCTCACCAGGACAAGGCAAGGGTAGTCAGAAACTCCGTCTGCTTACATAAGTTTGGTATCAGCCTATGAATCGCTGAAGCCTATGCACATTGGAGCAGACGGGCAGTGTTCTGACGATTAAAGATCGTGTACGTTTCCCCCGGGTTTTGGCATGTGGGGCAATCGAGGATGTGCTGGCCGATAGAGCTTGCGAGCAGCTCTGTGCCATTTGCCGCCATGTTACGTGGGACATGTTCTGCAATCCTACTGAACAGCCTCTCAGTTCGACTCACGTGCTTGCTATCGCAAGTACAATGAAAGCGGTAGATACAGGAGGCGGTAACTGTATGGTCTGGCCTGTCCAGGTCGGCTTTACATAGTAACCTTTTAACTTGGTGAAGTAGGACCAGCTGGGCCGCATAATAGCATTTCTTAATGGACTGGCGAAGACGATATCGAAATCGCCTATCATTTTGGTCCTCTTTGATGGCAGCGTGATGAATGCCTTCTTCTTTACAGACATCAGCCTTACCTTTCTCGATTGTTTGTTCGTTTGATTGGCGCTTGGGATACCCGCTCTCTCGTAGTGTTGCTGAGGCCTGTTGCACCTCAATGTCAATTGTTCCTTCGGAGCATATATTACGAGCTCTTGCGGAAATAGTGCGTACGAGAACTGGTTTGTAATTGATGGGACAGAACCCGTTAAACTTGAGATACTGTCCCGTCCAAGTAGGCATACAGTACACCGATCGAGTGACTGTACCACCTGTTGTGTGTGCGGCATGCTGATTCCACTGATTGTCTGTACACAGCTGATGAGAAGACACGAAATATCTGAATTCAGATTATTCTGTTGAAATGTTTTTTTCTTACTATTTTGTAGTATAGTCGG